TTATGCAGTCGGGCTAGCAAGCAGCGTTGCGCAGATGGCCAGGAGCTACATATGCAGCATCAGGCCTCCCTCGACCCTCAACACGGAACTCCCTCGGTTTAGGGTTTAGGGTTTAGGGTTTAGGGTTTAGGGTTTAGGGCTCTCTTCTTAGGTCGGCTGTGGCCCGGACTTTCGATTTCTGCCCACGAGGAAGCTGCTCCGTGCTTGGCCTGGCGCTTGGGATTCAGGAAGCCTAAACCCTAAACCCTACTTGGAGGTTCAGGGGTAGTTATAAGTAGGGTTATAAGTAGGGTAACTATAGATATAACCCTATCAGGGGGCTTATAACCCCACTTATAACTACCCATGAACCTCCAAGCAGGCCCTTAGTCCGTTGTGTCAGAGCCCATCAGCCCTCCCCCTTGAGGCCCGGACCCTTTCGATTTGGGATCCGCAGCTTTTTTGGTGGCTTCCGGCGCAACCTGGGCTGGAGGGTGAGAGGTATTATACTTTCTCATACTAGAGACGACTTGATCATATTATATCAGATATCATGTTGTATCATGTTCTAGTATACTGTAGTATATTATATATGGTACTATGTTGTTTGATTGTGGCGTAGAGCGTTGTATTACTTCTACCACAACCCGGCCTGATCCTCCTCGGTGCTATCCTTTCTCTGACGCCTCAGGAGCAAAGCTGGCTCTCGGCCTGTGAATGTACATCAAAAACATAAGATAAATGTACTAGAACAGAAAAGAATAGAACAGAACAGAATAGAACAAATGGCATTAAACAACAGTGCGATGTTTTCCCCACTGTAATCATAATATGCTATAAAGTACTATAGCACCTGGCGATTTTTATAACACACTACAAAAGCAATAAACTGTCATATACCAGAATGCACTATACTATATGTTATAGACTGTAACTTACTATAATATATCGTACGATATCTCATAGTATACTACAGGTATAGTATAGTACACTGCTTCCGTTTGACTGATATCACGCCATATAATGTCATACAAACACAACGAATGATAACGTAGAATAACGCAATGTATTCAAATTCTAGCATAATATGCGCTTGCTAAGCCCCGGTACCTGCGCTCGGCTCGCGAAACTCTCATCTTACCCCGGCTCTTCTCGGTGTCGTCTGCTTCTTGGCTGCGACTCGCCGTAACTTCCTTGCTGTCCTCTTCATCTTCAGTCTTGTCTTTATCGTCTTCCTTATCCTGATCCTCCTGGTCATCTTCCATGCCAGCCTGCTCTGCTTCTTCCTCTTCTTCACCTCAGGGTCGGGATCCACGAGCAGAAGTCGGGATATTGCCGGCTCTTTGCCTTCAAACGGTCTGGGCAAGCCACTTGCAGCAAGCTCATGCTCGCTGTCAGCGACCACCTCTTCCATCTCCTGCCAAGCATAAAGAAGCAGCTCGATCAAAGCATCGCAGGAGACGGCTGCCTCTTCTGAGGCTTTTGGCTTGTTGGCCATTGCCTCTAGATATCGGCTCTTTCGCTCGCCCTGCAGGCAGAGTTTTAATCATGCAGACTGCACTATTCCATGCTGCTCCCGGTGCCTTGTGCCGCTCAGCACAGGTCTCTGAGACCTGGAATAGGAGTGTCATGCCCATCCTGAGGCGACATATGATTCAAAATGTGTTCCAACCGGGACAGGCACACCAGCAACGGCAAATGTCCCTCTACCGCATGAAGCTGAGTGACTCTAAGTGTAGCGGTGGCATAAACTGACGACGGCCGGTGACATAGAAGTCATCCACACAGTGGTGATCCTCATCTGGAGCTTTGCCTCAGTTTATCAAACCAGGTTTGTGCCCAAGGTCGGGATTTACACACTTTGGTCTCATGCGCCTCGCGAGACCTGCGTGATGGGCACCCACCATGCAGAGATGACAATCTGCTTATCCCAAGCAGTGCTGTGGCAAAGTGCGAGCGTGCCGGCTTCGCGGAGAGTGGCAGGAGGGACTTCTCCACCTCACAGGTGTCACGGGTCGGAGGCGAGAAATTCTTGAAGGAGGGCTATGGTGACTGCATCTTACAGCGAGAGGAATGGCCCCAGGCCTTCCGGGTTCCGCACAAAGCACGTCCGAGCTCCTGCAACATCTGCCTGGATGAAGGCGTCGTTTTCGCCAAGGTGCTTCAAAAAGAGCTGCTCTGTCTGCACCGCATCGTGGCCAGCCACGACGAGGTAGTTCCTTAAACAAAGAAGTCACAAAGCTAGAAAGCGAAAAGATAATATTAGCATAACCAGCTCCTGATGATGCTATGACTTCGGTCAGTGTCGCAGTCAAGCAGCTCAGAGGACACAAACCAAATAAACTTCTCGAACCACCATGTCTGACGCACACGCCGAATTGTTTGCTTCAAGTCGAACTTCTGCAGATCCTGGTGTGCCTTTCTCTCGGCACTCTTTATGGCCGCTTCGGCGTGCGTCTGCGTGCGCGAAGTCTTGTCCCTTGTTTCTTTCCTTTTGGTGTGTAGGCGTGCAACATTGGCATGTGCAGACAAGTTCAAGTTTAGCGCCACCACTTCCATCGGCTTGTCATCAGTGCCTTCGTCTTCGCCTTGTTCTTCGTCGATGTCCGCCAATAAGATCTTGAACTCATTCTGTTCCAGATTCATGGAGTGAATATGCTCTGCGATGGGATGTCCCAAGCGCTGCTGGCGTTTGACTTCGCGCCAAAGCTCGCCCCAGTCCACCTGGGATGCCAGCATGGCATTGATCATCTGGAGAGCTCGGTCGACGAGTTCGACGTTACGTTCGATGAGGCTCGCCTTGCGCTCCGACGCCTCCTGCTCGGCCTCCAGCTCTTGAAGCCGACGTCCCTGATCCGCACGGATCCGGTCGACACGTGCCATCACGCTTTGGGCATGCTGTGCCTTTTGTTCGACTGCCTTGTTCTCCTCAAGCTGAGTGAAGAACTCGTCAACACATCTATGGAAGCTTGGAAACGAAAGCACGGCGTCGGCTTCTTCTGGCTGCGGTGGCTCCAACGGGCTGAACTCTTCGTTAGCCCAGGTAGCATCTGCAGGTGGGGTGTGCACCTTCTTTCGCAGAATCCAGCCAGGAACCACCGGTGCGTCAGCCTCTGGCGGCGCACCCCGCTTGATGCCTGTGTCAGGCCCAGGCTGTGCCTGTGCCTCTGCCTCGTCTTGAGGCTCTGGTTGAACATCTGCTTCGTCCTCGTCGTCTTCGGCATCGTTCACATCATCATCCGCGGCTTCTGCCACCGCCAGCACGGGCATGCTGCCACCCCCTAAATCGTCCGGCCGGGACACGCTGCGCAGCGTGTCCAGGAGCATCTCCGCAGAGGACTGCTCCAGCTCCACCAGCTCCTCAAAGGACATGTCATCCACCGTTATCTTGAACCTGGGTAAGTATCAGGTCCAAGCCTCCCAAATGTACTTATGCATGGGACATCTATGTAGGCCAATACGGGAAACTGAAAAGACTCTCAAAGACCCGGCCAGGAACGCATTCTGAACGGGTTTGCCATTCGCTGCAGACACTTTGGCCACGCAGCTGGCGCACAGCGCAGGATCCGCAAATGGCGCGAGCTTATGCAGCAGCATCACCACAGGCATTGCGCTGTGCTGCACTCGTTTTTTGGACTTCTTGGCAAAAGCAGATTCGACTCCTTTCTTCTTGTCTTTGACCGCCTTCTCGTCGTCCATTTCCAGCTCCCTGACCTCCTGATTCTCAGCACGAGCTGAGGCCAGATCTAAGATGTCCTCGATCTCCTCCGAAAAGTCTGCAAGGGGCACCTTTAGCAGCCCCATGGCCTTGTCTACGGGATACGTCTGACGCATGGCCACCTTTGTCTCTTGGTCCGAGTGGACTCTGAGCAAAGCCAGAATTTGGTATTCACTGTCGGTGAGAATCAAATTACCAGTTACATAGATCTCCAAGATCAAATGAAAAGATGTCTCACCGCGGCCAAACTGGAAATCGACAGCACGATCCGCTCCCAGTTGACTGACGTTTGTCAGCCGCTTGTTGCGCAAATGCTTGCGCAACTTCATGGTGTAGTTAGATGGGATCGACGACTTGTCTCGCTGGTACTCCGTCAGGTGAAAACGCACGCCGCTTTCCAGGAGAAGCAAGCATCTAAAGCCTCTGGGGACAAAGCTGCTGCGGACGAGGTCTCCGACGAACGCAACATGAGATCAACTGTGACCCCTGCCTTTCCGCTGAAGCTTCAGCAGATAAACCTTGGAATTGATGTCGTAGATATTTGCCAACTTGCACCCGACGGCCGAGGGACGAATCGAGTTCACCTCAGGATGCGATGAGCCGATGACGTCTCGTCTTGCTGTCTTAGTTTCAGCAGTGGTAGCAGTACTGTAGCAGCAGCACAAATCGTCCTCGTCATCGAAGCAATGGTGGTACTAGGAGCAGCAGAATGGGTAGCATAATCCGGCAACCCTAAACCCTAAACCCTAAACCCTAAACCCATAACCGGCAATAGTGACCGTGAGAGTGGTATCCGAGTCGCCTTAAGAGGAGCAAGATTCGGAGCAGGACCAGGAGCAGGAGCAACAGTAAGAGCAACACCGAGAGCAAGAGTAAGAGAGCGAGAGCAACAGCAAGAGCAAGGGGAAGAAGAAGAGTCGGAGTCAGAGCAAGAGAAAGGGTAAGAGCTGTTCTATTGCTGTTGTCATTACGATGCCACTGTTGTAGAAGTAGAGGCAGCCAAGAGGCCATCGCTCGGACATCCACCGAAGAAAACCGTGTTTTCACCATGGCTTGCTAAGGGCGAGGGGAGGCACATGTGAGCCTCACTTCTTCGCATTTAATACGGCCAGAACAACATGTCAGCTACGGCAAGTCTGCTGAAACTATGCAGTGAGTGAATCAGATGCTTGCGTTTTTTGAAACGTGGAGCTGATGGGTTAAGCCATTTCGCTTCGGCATGCTGGGTATAATCTTGCCAGGAGTGCCCTGTCGGAGAACAGTTGTCGCTGCGGCAGACACATGAAACTCAGAGCACAAGGAATTAAAAATCTGCTAATGTCACAGCTGCAATTCTGTCCAGGGCCTCGTTCGAAGGCTTCTGCAAGAGCACGCCACAAAAACGCAGCGTAGAATACACCTGGGAGAGGATCGTACAACATCGCCGCGGCTTCTGTGTCATCACAGCGGTCCTCTTCCGCCGTGCGCTCCATGTCCACCTTCAGGAGCTGATGGAGCTTCTCCACGATCCTCCTCAGATCCGGCAAGTTGCCTTGTTGTACCTTCAACCTTATGAAGCCTGCCCGGTCCTCATGCACCGCAGCCGCCGCCGTGCACCACCTCGAATCTTCATCACGTCCTGATGCCAAAAAGCATCAATCAGAAGCCGTGTGATGCTCTTTCGCAAACCGAGGGGTCGTTGGAAGCACTGACCATTGTGCAGCAGTTCAAAACGTATTTGGTGCTACGCGACTGGGCCTACAACTTCCAGCAAATCTGTCATGCATCAACTATATTGAAGTATGCACATGCCTCTCCAGATCGCTTGCAAACCCGATCTTCAAGGCTCTCAGGCAAAAAGGACCGAGCAAAAGCATCTCGGATAGACTGGAAAACCCTCACCACGCAAAAGGCATCATCGCGCCAGCCCGGCTTCTCCGAACCCTGTCGGGCAAATACTCTTTTGACGGGCCGATGCGCGCAGCCTGACATGCATGCGCTCCCCAGAGGCTTCCAGTCAGACTGCAAGTATGACGGTGACTGCACATCTGTAGCACAGTGGGA